ATCTAGAAAACCAATCTAGCTGTCCATCCCTGGACACGCTCGTACTGGGCATGGAAAACCAGGTCACGAACAGCAAAGAATTACAGGTCAGAAATCGCGGAAAAGAGATGCCGCCCGCGCGTTGCTTCCGCCGAACACGCAAGATTCGTGATGATGAAAGCACGCGCAGCGAATCCCTTCCCATATCTTTGGCAGAGTGCCGAGCGACAAGTGACTACACAGAGGTTCTCGACTGGTACACCGGCTGTGAGTGTCTCTATGCGAACTGCGTGTGAAGATATACACTGACTTTATACTTCAATATTCAGGGCAGGGTGACTGCGACTGGATGTGGCGACTACCTGGCAGGTTCAACGATGATTAGGGTGGATTTATCTTCGACTGTGGGAGAGCCTCGCAACCCGTAGTCAACCTGAATTCAGCATGACTCAAGTATTACAAGAAGATGATGAAGGCTCTAACAACAGTGAGACTGAACCGAGCATTTCAATGACCATAGTTCAGGGTCGTGTGAAGAGCATGTTCATTGGTGCAAGCGGGGGTAGGCTCGCGACTTTGGCATTCGCTAGCCTCAACCATGGTTTCGTGTCGAGATCCACCACTACCGTCCTCGTTCACGACCACTCCAACTTCATGGCGATTCCTCATGCGATCTGCGTCATCACCGAACTATGGTAATCATGAAAAAGGTTCATTAGTTCATTAAGGGCGGGAGCGATGACTAGGACATGGCAACTACGGTACAGCATTGCGAGATTTGGCACACGAATTGCATAGCTCCACTGTGCTTGGACTGTACTTATTATAAAAGCATATGCAATTCCCTCAAGCGTTTTCTATTCCAAGCTTGTGTCTACATTCAGATTTCGATACACTTTTAACATCACCAGTAAAGACCGAATCTGACTTACAGACAATAACGGACCCAATTCGACAGAGACCTTCGGTTTTCCAAAATGCATCTGATCCAGAGCATTTACCGCGCTGCATGGGCAACGTTCTGTCTCACCGGCTTAACCGCAGGTGTACCCATAGCACCGGCTTTCCACTTAACGGCACGACAACCCATCGAGCCAGATCTCCAAATCGACTTCAACGCCCTCCTCGACGGGTCTTTAGGTAACCTACCCGCGATCTGGATTACCTCCCACAGTCTTCTTGCCGAGGCCGCGCCATCTTCAAACCTCACGGTTTCTTCTCGCGAAGATCGTACCGACAAGGAGAATGGCCTTGTCGCCGCTGCCTTCATCAGCTCCCTGCTGATTCCTGCTGCGACCGGCATCGCAGACAACGGCGTCACTGGGGGTCTTTGCAACGCTATCATAAATGGAGCAGGGGGCATGGCTGGCGCCGTTGTTGGTCAAGAGGCCGGCAAAACACTTTACCCACAAGGTAACGGCACCGATGGAAATGGCACATCGGCTCCAGAGATGGAGCAAGGCATTGTTCCTGGTGCGTTTATTGGTAGCGTCGTTACCAACAGTCTTGGAACTGCTCTGGCTAAGAGTATCTGCGACAAATTTCTCCCCGATGTTGAAGACGTCATAAAGGAGGCTGAAGCTGGAGTTGCGGGTCGGGTCGCTAACTCACTGAATCGCGGTCTCAAAGAAGTTTTGGTGAGCCAACTAGAAGACATGGGGGTCGAGACCGCGCGGGCAGTACAGTTTGCAAGTCAAATGGAAGAGACGATTCGCTTGGTCGACAGTACCGGCAGTCTGGCCACAGCTTTCGAATACCTCAATCGCGAACTCGCAACCAACACCGCAGAGCTGGCCGAAGCTGTAGGAGCCAAACTATTGAACAAGCCAGCAATCAGCAACCTCGTTCAACTAAGCCACAACACGCTCGCCAATCTACCAGTCGCAGGTGTAGACGGCATTGCGCTGTTGCCGTTCGACCCTGCTGCCGATCCCATAGGAATGATGGCTAAGTTCACCAACCATTACAGGAATACCATGGAGTTTGCCAAAACTCTAGGCGGGAAGATCAAAGAAGGCGCGAACCGCGTTTCCCCTGCTTTGGATACAGTGTCCCAGTCGGTTGAGTCAGCTATGCAAGGTGTCGACTCCATCATTCCGGGCACGGCAAACAGACTGATCAAGGATGCTACTGGTGCCGCCAGAAATATTCTGGACCATATCCCAAACCCCCTTCATAGTCTTCCGAACCCTTTCGACGCTCTATTCCACCATGGAGGTCATGGTAGCGGCCACAGTAGCGGCCACCATACTGCTCCCGGATCAACTCACGGCGGCAACGGCGAATCACACTGTGCTCAAGCCACGGTGACTATTACGACTACACTTTCGCCTGCTCCAACCCAGACGCCGAATCGAAACTTGGCTACTCCGACCCTGGGCTCGTGCACCTCGTACCAGGTCATTCCCACGTACACGACGTTTACACGACACGCGACTGCAGTGATTACGCAGATACAGACGGTACCTTCGTATGTCCAGGTCCCTCAGTACTTTGCAACCACTACCACGCAGACTGTGGCAAAGTATGTCCAGATCCCTCAGTACGTGCAAACGACTGTCACTCAGGTTGTGCAGACTACGCAGGTTGTGCAGACCACACAGGTGGTGCAGATCATGGAACACGTAACGCAGACTGCCACTCAAACTGTGCAAGTCCAAGCTGTTGCCACAGCGACGCCTGGATACAATTGGGCGAACGTGAAAGGGAGCATGCAAAGTTGGTGTTCTGTGGCTACCTTTCACTGTCGCGGTGGGCGCCCTCACAATCACGAGCTCTGTAATTCGGTCTGGAACTTGTGTGGTGGTTGCAGCATCTGGCCTGACCAGTGTGATTATGGGCATTGTGTGATGGGCTGTGCCTTAGCAGATATTAGCTAGAAAGCCTCTAGAAAACTAGTAGATAATATCTTTAGCTCTAGAATATCCAGCCGAGCTCTACAAAAATATCTTTTCAAAGTACATAGTCTGTATTCATCACGTTTGCAGTAGTCGTAGTATAGATAACAATAAAATGCTTCATTGCAAACATGAACACCAAGCTATGCGTACACCCTCATCCCACCCGTCGCAAATGAAATGCTCACACAAAATCCAAACACAAAACAATTGCTCCATCCAATGCATCCCTTCCTCATCCATCGCCATTATCTAACTATACCACTCGTCTAAGCCTGAGCAGCCTCCAAGAGCTTCATGTGCTGCTCCGGGTGCGTCTTCTCGACGTTGTTCTTAGCAACCTTCTTCATCATGAAGTTGGCGTCAATGTCAATCTCCTCGCTGAGCTTGCCGCCAGTCACACGCCACTTGCCGCTGATGGTGAGGACACCAACGGGGGGCTTAGCGTTGACGAGGGAGTCGACACCCTCGGATACGTTGGTGAGGGTGAGCTTGTAGGTTGTCTGGGGTGGGTCAGTATCATATTGAGGAAGAGGAAAAGCGGAGAGGGAGGGCTAGTCGTACCTGGCCAATGGGCTTCTTGTCGGTGACGGTGTAGGTAGCGCAAGTAGTCTTGTCGCCGGACTCGAAAGCGTAGCTGACGAGTGCTGGGCAGAGGGTCTTGATCATGAGGTCGTGGTTGTGGAGAGCGGCAATGACGACGGCGGCGTCGACACCGTTGAGGGGAGTGGAGATCTGGGAAGTAGGCATCTTGACGATTTTGTTGTTGGTTGAGAATTTGGTAGAGGATTAAAGGAACTGGCCGGCAGTAATAGTGAAGAGAAGTAGTTGGTAAGGCTGTGTTGAGATGATGAGAGAAGTAGAAGCTTGCTGGATGATGCTCTATCTCCACGGCGAAAGGTAGCAGAATATATACATCTCGCCCGCTTCCTCATTCCCTCCCGGTCTTACTCGCGTCTGGAGACCCCTACTCTACTCTCCATGACCCTAACCCGTTGTCCAAAACGTCAAGACGCAGTCAAGATGCATGTCTTACACCCCTGACACGGCATGGCGTCCCTCACTCTACCCCAACATCCATACAGTGGTACAGCTTACCCACGCATGGCTTGTACTACGCCGACGATCATCCATCCGCGCAATATCGAAATAGTAGCTACCGAAACGCGTCGTCTCCGTTTCCGAGCGCCGGGATAGGTAATGTCTGTGCGTTGGTGCGCTGGGTTGGGGATGGTGAGGTAGGACGATCCTCGTTAACCGAGCGATATCCACAGGGTTGAATCGTGGAGCTTGTGACGCGGATACTCTGTGTCTGGCACGTTTGAAGGGACGAGTGGTAGAGCGAGAGCTGGAAATAGCTGATCTGACAGTTTAGAAACATCTTTCGAGTCGCGTAGTGTCAAACAGAACTGTTTGCACACTGCTTGTCTACCTGTGACGTCTGTGTCCGCGCTGCTCGCTTTCGCAAACGAGGTCGTTCCTCAGCTGGAAACGCTATTGCGCAAGGCGCCTGCAACGCTCATTGACGCTGTCGATCATGTATAATGCTTACACGCAGATAAGAACACGAACTCCCACTCTCCGGATCTCCAAGGGCTCGGTCGCTGTTTCTCCGTGCAGTAATTGGGTGCTGGGCGCGAGCAGTGTCGGAGTGTTTCGCTGGTGGGTTCGCAGAATCGACGGGCGCCGCGGGTTGGGGAGCCGTGCTGCTCTAGCGCAAATCTTAAGTCAGCTCGCGTGGGTGTCGCTGTCGCCTCGTCTATTTTGAACCGGTTCACTCATCGTTCGTGCGAAAGGCAGTTACATGTTTGCTATTTTCGCGTTTATCGCGTTTCATTTCTTGCGCGGAGTGCGCATGTGTTCGCATGGCATCCAAGGGCCGTATACATTGGATGCAGCGCGGCCTCTCCGGAGCTCGGCCGAGGCAGGCTAGACTTCTCCGACATTGGCTCTGGTACGTGATGGAACGGTGGAGAACATTGAGTAGGCACGCTTGATGTTTTGCAACTTTGAAGATGAATTGATCGCCTGATGATGTACCATAACGCATACAACCTTGGAAATCCCCTGACCTTGATAGAAAACGCCTTCCTGTGCACCACAAATACAGAAACAACAGAATCGCTAAAGTTTCGACTCCACCACCGCATCCGTCTTTGCCCTTCCGCCTGCAAAGTTCACCCCTTCACTCGGCTCAACCGTCCCACTCTTGTTAATCAACTGCAACTTTCTCAGCCTTGAGATCGGCTCATCGTCATCTCTATCCCTAACATAGAAAGCCCAGTCGGCGGTAGGATCAATCTCCGTTTGCGAGTATCCATTGCCCAGCCATGAGAACCTGTTGCCAGTGTATTTTACATCCCAGTCCTCTAGCCTCAGCTCCATGAGTGCCTCGATGTAGTGCAAAGTAGAACCAGGCCAGAGCGCGGTTACAGGGCCGTCAGCGCCGAGCGATTTGTACCATGAGCGACAGCCGTCGTTCCAGACCGTACGCTTCATGTATTCGTCCTTGAAGGCGACGAAGTCATCGATGGCCTCAGCTCTTGGGGCAAACGTCGATATGTTGTGTGTTTGGAAGCGATCGATGAGCTTGCACATGTAGTCTGCCTGCGCTTCGATAGCACTGAGGACAGGACCATTACCAATGGGGCAATTGGGCCCAAGGAAGATGAGGTAGTTCGGGAAATCGGCAGCGGCGAGGCCGAAGTAGGAGCATGGTTCTTTGGCCCAGGCATCTTGTAGGTTGGCACCGGAGGAGTTTATCACAGGGAAACGTGGCTTGAAGGATGTGTTGAAGCCGGTGGCGCAGATGAGCACGTCGATGGGGTATTCGTTGCCATCGTCACATAGGCAGCCGCGTTCGGTGATGGAGTTGATCTCGCCGTAGACAGTTTGTACGTTGGGTTTCCCTAGTGCTTCGAGATAGCCAACGCCTGGTGTCAGTCTTCGGCACCCAACATGCCAGTTCGGGATCAAGCGCTCTTGTAGGTATTCGTTGTTAAGCTTTTCGGTCATCTGCTGGCGGAAGTAGGCTTCTGTCTCGGAGTTGACGTTTGTGTTCTTGAGAAAGATGCCGAATTGGCCGTTGAGGCCGCGTTCAATGTTCTTTCGGTATTCAACCAATGCGCCGGGCTTGGTTGCGAATTCGAGCTTTTCGCTATCGGTAAAGACGTGTTGTTCGAGGCCTTGGACTGGTGAGACCCATGTTGGTTCGCGGATGAAGGTTGTAACTTTCTTGACGTGCGGTTGGATGGTAGGGAGAACTTGGATGCCAGAGGAACTGAAGTGGTCAGTCGCGGAATCAAAGGTCAATCATAATAGACTTACCCATTCCCAATCAAGCCCACATGGCGACCTTTGAGATCGACGTTGTCGTCCCAATTCGCAGTGTGTAGTAATGTGCCCTTGTATTTGTCCAAACCCGGGATGGCAGGCCATTGCCAGTTGTTCAAGATGCCGCCTGCATTGATCAAGATGTCGCAATGATCGTTGACGGTCTGGCCACTCTCCAGGTCTTTGACCTGCACATCATATCCGCCCCTTTGCTCGTTCCAGATTGCGCCAGCGACTTGGTGTTGCGTCTTGATGTATTTGCGTAGACCGTATTTGCGGGCGAAATCGTTGAAATAGGCAAAGATCTCTTTGGAGCTGGCGTATACAGCAGACCAGTCCAATTTGGGCTCAAATGACCAGGTGTAGTTGTGGGAGGGAACATCGCATGCGCATCTGGAAGCGGATGTTAGCAAGGTTGGTCGACTGCGCCGCTTCGCTGCAGTCGCTTCGGTAGATCGCGGGGCGAAAGGTGCATCACGCCCCGCAGCAATCAATATGATCTTCACTTACCCCGGATATCTGTTCTCGAACCATGTGCCCGAAACTTCGGAATTCTTCTCGTAAACTTGAAGGCTGTAATTCGTGAAGTGCTTTTGCAGTTTGTATGCCATCAGAAGTCCTGAAGCACCTGCGCCAATACACACGATGCGTACATGGCGTTGCGCATGGATGGGCCCACGCAACCGGTGCTGAGCATCAGTCTCTGGCGCAGCCGTTGATGGGACGATAAATCCGTCTGCCATTGTGAAGGATAAATAACTAATGAGGAAGGCAAGTCGCAAGACAAAGTTGGAGCTGGATCTTAAGGCAACGCTGCGACCACTCCGAGGCCTTCACCGTTCTTAAACTTTGTTTGCGGCATGTTTGCGCCGCGACTGCTCAGTCATGGAGAGTCAGGTGCTGGCCAAATGACTCCACGTAGCGAGTCAATTTAGTGTACGCTGAGATCTGGGGTCACGCTAAGTGAGTTGGAGCAGGGTTGGGGTCTCGAGATACGTTGACGATTCGTGATGTGGGCAAACTGTTGAAGAGGCTATTCATGACTTTCCGTCTGGCAAAGCATTTCCGAACGTTGCACAGACGAAAAGTCTGGGGCTTCGAGGTCGCGTAATCGTGATAGAGCCGATGGAAGGTCGATTAGCCAATCGTACAAATGCTTGGGGCAGTCAAGATCCTTTTTCGGATACGGAGGTTGCGTCTCCCAATTTGCGGGGATCGGGGTGGAGCAATGGGGTGGAGAACCTCTACCGAGATGCGACCGATGTAATCAACATAATTGAATCTGTTTGACGAAAGGATCATGTATCGTAGCAAGCGTGTAAAGGAAATGTCGAATTATCAAGGCGCTGGGCTAGTACAAAGGTTTAGACGATTGTGTATCCTCCGTCTGCGACTAATGTGGCGCCGATCATGTAGCTCGCCGCGTCTGAGTGTAAGAACGCAATACAGTCGCCGATTTCCTCCATCTCCGAGTAGCGGTGAACAGGGACCTTCTTCCTTTCAGTTTCCATCATCTCACCCTGACCCATGTGCTCTTGTACCAAAGGCGTCATTACATATCCAGGCGATATTGCGTTGATGCGGATACCCTTGTGCGCGAAGGCGAGCGCATCTGACTTTGTGAGGCCAATAACAGCGTGCTTTGAGGTAGCGTATGCTGTAGCAGGAACATTGAGCGGTGGTGCAACCAGACCATACATGGATGCGACGTTAACGATGGAACCTCGATATGACCGATATGAGTCCGATAGCTTTTCCTGTTTGAGCATTTGCCGAATCTGCGCACGTTGGCATTGCCAGACAGCGATGGTGTTGATAGACATGACCTTCTCGAAGTCATCTTTGGGGATCTGATCGGTCGTTTTGATCATTCCACCGATGCCAGCATTGTTCACGGCATAGTCTAGTCGTCCGAACTCCTTGACCGTCTTCTCTATACTGTCATCGACAGCTTTCTCGTTGGTGACATCGATCTCGAATGTCTTGATAGAACAGGCGGATGAGAGTTTACGGAGGTCGCTAACGGTTTTGGTGAGGGGATTGCGATCCAGCAGCGCGAATGAGCGCACACCCTGTTTCGCAAGAGCGTATGCAGTGTATTGGCCAATGCCTAACGACATGTTAGCTCATTGCTTGTAACTGCTGCACAGTCTGATGGTGCATACCAGACCCAGCACCGGTAATGTATGCCACTCCTTTCAGTGTAAAAGCCATGTTCTTGGGTGCAGCGTGTGAATTGCGAGCCTTCCTGGGTATCCAGCTATCGAATGTCAGGTCCGCGGAACCTTGCTCGTGAACAGTGTTGCCGCTACTGTTGCTATCAGCCTGATGTTACGATTCAAGAACTATCAGCGATGACCTGCGCCCTGCATATGCAACGTCAGGGGAAATGTGGAAGGCTGATGCTGTGGAGGCGGTTCTTAGGCGGGGCTACGCTCTGCATCGGTTGCGGTTTTCCTGCTCGTGGAGGCGAACACAACCGAGTCATGTCTGCTCTACGATGCGAGGACCTTGTACCTTGCATCTGAGCTTGGTCGCATCCTGCGAGAATTGCGAGTCCAGCTCATATAGGATGCGACCATTTTGTATCAATATGACAAGGTGCTGGGAAGGCACGATGACCTCGATCGGTCGCCGTCAAACACCTTCAGCATGCTTGCCAAGACGAAGTCATTACTGCTAGAAGCCGTCGCGAAGGCCGTTGCAAGAAAGTAAATGGGCGCTAATGGTGGTGAGCAACGGTAGAAGTGCTGCGAGGCGGATCGTGATGCACGGATGGCGTGTTGTTCTACGTCATCTGGGCACGTGTTTGCGTGTTCTAGCGCGGTTCCACGGTTTGCATCCTTCGCCACCACGGTTCAGGCCCTGCATCCACCCGCACCCCTCGTCGCGATGCGCCGCCCGCCATGCCACCCACGCCTCACCGAATCGCGCAAACTTCGACCGAACTCAAGAAGCAACACAAGAAACATGGCCCTCGCCTCAACGAGCGCCAGCAGAAGCAGCTCGAACGCGACTTTGAACTAGAACAACGCGCCACCCGCGCGCGCGAAGCCGAAGAACGCCGCAAAGCAGCAAAGAAGAAGCGCGAGGAGAGGGAGGCCAAGGAGGCCAAGGCAAGGCAGCAGATTGGCGTTGGTCTTGCGACACAGCTGGTTGGATACAGTCATACACAGGCGCAGTTGAAGAATGGCATGGAGGCATTCCTGGGGCTGAAGAAGAAGAAGGACGAGGAGAAGCGCAAGAAAGACTTGGAGCTTACCAAAAAGATGGAGGAGATGGTTGAGGGGATTGAGAAGGAGCCATGGGACGACGACGATGAGGACATGGGCCTCGATCTGCCCAGCGCGAATGTGTCGTTTGGAGAACAATGGCCTGACGACGATCTCGACGACGATACGCTACTCGAAGCACACGATATGGTCATGTCGGATCCAATAGAGGAACCACAAGCTGTCGCACTGCCACCTCCTGCGCCTGTCGCTCCGATCGAACCTGCCCCACCCGCCGCCCCGACCCCTTCCCCGAGACCAGTTGCTGTCAAAGACGACCGCGAGTTCGCTCGCACCCACGGTCCCATCAACAAGGCCATCGAGGCTGTCTTGGACAAATTACCTGAGCCTCTGCTCGAAATGCTATCACAGGATCTTTCGCTCAAGACGCCAGACTGGGACCCGTCACTCGGGCTGTTGCATAAGCTAAATCCAGTGGGCCTACCTCCGCATCGACTGCGAATCAAAGTTGGCTGCATTGTGATGCTGCTCCGGGATCTCAACACAAGTAGTCAACTGTCCAAGAGCCAGCACTTGCGAGTCCTAAGGTGCGAGAACGATCGACTGGAGTGCTTGGTTCTGGATGGGCAGCTGCAGGGAACTAAGACTTTCCTGACTAGGGTTCCGTTTATTGCAAAGTACAAGAACCTGGAACAGCATCCCTTCCAGCGGACGCAATTTCCCATCCGTGTAGCCGTAGACTATACACCGTCCAGCACGCCACGAGACACATCACAAACAGGGTTTAAGCTGCCCTCTATACCTGGTCGTGTGCAGCCCGCGGGTTCTCTCAGGAAACCAGCGCTTCACGTCGTCAAAGCAAAGCCTGCTGCAAATGTGAATCCAGGCTTCAAACTTCCGGGACTCCCAGCATCCAAGTCAAACTCTTCCATCACAATTGAACCTAAATCAGTCGCGAAGGAAAGCCGGTACCTACCACAACCGCCGACAGACTGTTGGGATGACTTTCTCGAAAGTAGCACGCAGATCTCGCGAGAGCTGGCTTCAGAAGTAGTCCCGACGGTAGAAGAGCCAGTCAAACCCCCAGCGATCGTATCGCCTCCGTCTATTGATACGCTTCCCCCCATTTCGACCCAAGACTTCGACTTTTCTCTAGATGATCTCGATGAAGAGCCGGAAGAAAAGGAAACAAAATGCGGATCTGCTCCTATTGTACAGCATAATCTGCCTGGCATAGCTTCTGCGCCGCTCCAGGGACACTCAAGTATTACTCGACCCTCACCACAGCCGACGTCTTTCCCTCTCGCCCCGCAGTTGGCGAACCCATTGATGCCTCACATGCGGATGAATAGCCTCCCTACACCCACCGAGTTCTCACCGCGTCCTTCTGCGACTGCGAACTCGAGCAGACCATTATCATCGTCCAAGAAGGTAGCTGGCAAATGTGTCAACCCAGGTCCCTTTGCATCGGGACTCGAGGCTGAACTTGCTAAGCTCCGAGCTTCTCAGCTGCCCATGTCCATGTCTGGCCCCAATGCAAAGAGGAAAGCTTCGCCGATACCTTTGAAGAACCCCGTACCACCAGCTAAGAGACAATGCGCACCAATAACTCACACGAAGTCCTCTGCAGTGGTATCGGGACCAAGCGCGTCTTTTGAAGACTTTTTCATGTCGACGCAGGAAGTAGCTTCATTCTTCGACGACGACGACGATAACATGAGCTTTGGATCGCCACCCATTGCAGTATGATTGACGGATTGGCTTATGTAGATATGAGAGACGTTGGCTAGGAGTTAGGGTCTTGGTTATGATACCCGTTTCGATTACTTTTGCTAGATGATTACGTAGATACGCGATTAATGAACCTCTATGTGCTCTGCGATGGCATTCCTCCAGGTTTTCACGAAACACGATACTTAAAGATCATGCTTGCACAAGCCGAAACATGTAAAGATGTTGGCATCGTTGCTTTCCCTTGCACATACAATTCGCACATCTAGCTACTACAGAATACCCCAGAACTCTTCTGGCTCCAACCCCCATTTCTTACACAGCTCCCTATACCTCTCCGTGTACCCCTCCGCTCTCTTCCTAAACCCTTGCGCAGTCTTCATCTGATCTCTCCCGACTTGATGTCGATGAGCTGAATCCGGACCATCAGCCACCCTCACGAAACGAGCATATGTCCACAACTCCGGCAACGGCGTATGTTGCGTTAGGCCCTGGCCGCCATATATCTGCATAGCCTCATCGATGACTTTGAGCAGCGCATTCGGCACCATGATCTTGCTCTGCGCGATGGCGTATTTGCCCGCCTTGTTGCCTTGAAGATCCATGGTATCCGCCGCGTTGAGCACAACAAGGCGCATAGCATCGATCGTCATACGCATATCGGCTATGCGTTCGATATTGCTGTCGAATTCGCCGATGAATTTGCCTCGTGGCTTCTTGCGCGGCTCCATGCAGCGGACGAGCGCGAGTTCGAAGGCGCGTTCTGCTTGACCGATCAAGCGCATGCAGTGATGTATACGACCTGGGCCCAACCGCCCTTGCGCTATCTCGAACGCGCGACCAGGACCGAGGATGATGTTCTCGCGCGGCACACGCACGTTCTCGTAGATGTATTCGCCGTGTCCCTCAGGTGCCCAATCATAGCCCATGATGGTCAGGTTCCTCACTTGCTTCAGCCCGGGACTGTTCGCCGGTACCACCAGCGTTGTGTGTCTATTCCAGGCGTTCGCGTTCGTGGGATCTGAACAGCCCATCAGGATGAAGAGCTGCATCTCTGGGTTGTACTGGCAGTTGCCGTATAGCTTGCGTCCGTTTATGATGACTTCTTTGTCTGTGATTTCCATCTTTATGCCGACTTGGGTTGCGTCTGAGGAAGCGACGTCGGGCTCGGTCATGCTGTATGCGGAGGACATGTCGCCGTTCATGAGGGGGTGGAGCCATTTCTTCTTCTGCTCTGGTGTGCAGTATTTGGCAAGGAGTTCGATGTTGCCGGTCTCGGGAGCATGACAGTTCATCGTCTGGAGAGGTGTTAGAAGATGTTCAAGGTGCGTTGGATCTGGAGAAGTTTACCTGCGCTGCCCAGTACACTCTGCCCATGATCTCAGCGCAGCATGAGTACTCCAGGTTGGTGAGGCCTGGACTCTCAACAAAGTGGTTTGGCAGGAAGAGATTCCATAATCCTTGCGCTTTTGCCTTCTTTCGAAGGTCGTGGATGATGGCTGGTGTCTCCCATCTCGTCTTGCTCTCCTTGAGTTGCGCTTTGTAGATGCGCTCGGCCGGGATGCACTCGGTCTCGACCCAATCGTATACCTGCTGGATCTTCTCAATTGCGATGGGACGAAGTTTCGCTTTCACCCATGGCGGTATGCGCGAGAACGCTGGGCTGCTGTTGATGTCGATGTTCGAGACCATCTTGGAGATTCCTAGGTCATGAGTAATGCTGTGGAGGTAAGTGAAGATGATTGAACTCCAGAATCAAATGTCTACGCGTGCATATAGCAGACATGACTCGCTGCAGGGTCGATGCCGACGCGTCGCGATATGCAGCCCAGCCGAGGCGATGTTGTTTTGGCGGGGGAGCCGGATGTCTTTAAGCGTGGGGAAGGCACAGCCCTGGAGGCAGCGAATGGGAAGCTTGGACCCCTGACGTCTTTCCGCGTCGACGTGAGTCGAGATGAGCAGCACGACAAGACGCCAAACCTTTGTTGGGCTTTATACACTATGGCTTCCGAGATGGGAGAGTTTGTTCACTGTTTACACATTAACCTAGGGCAACATGGCTAACGAGGGATTTGCGAAACCATGGCTGGAGGTATGTCAAGTGGGAGCATGTGCATCAGAGTATTCTAACGGGTCGCGTAGTTCGAAGAAGAGTTCGGCGAGCGCATGCTCTTGAAGCCGCCGGTTTCGAGCATGACTGAGCAGTTCATGCGATACGGTGGCCTCATGGCTTCGAAATATACCTTCCCCGCGCCCGACCCTTCCGTAAAGACCGAGGACACAGTCACCGACGACGGGACCAAAGTGCGCATATACACACCTGATGGCTATACCGGCGGCAAGCCAGTGTGCATGTACTATCATGGTGGTGGCTGGGCTATGGGCGATGTCAACGGCGACGACCCATTCAGCAGAGCAATTTCCAAAGCCGGCGGCGTAGTGGTTGTATCTGTTGAATATGGCCTCGCGCCGGGAAACAAACATCCTGGGCTGTTGAACGAGTGCTACAAGGCCTTGACATGGGCGTTAGGCAATTCGAAGCGACTCAACACCGCTGAGGGTAGATACCTCACTGCGGGAGTATCCGCGGGAGGTCAACTGGCTTTCGCAACTGCGCTGAGAGGCCAGGACGAGAAGTCAGGTGAGCTCGTTGGTGTTGTCGCCATTATACCAGCGACTGTCCACCCAGATGGTGTTCCTGAGAAAATCCGGGCTGATTACACATCAATGGAGGAGCATGATCAGCACACCATCAACACTTCGGGGGCGATGCGAGACTTTTGGGCTGCCTTCGGTGCACCACCAACAGATATATACGGATCGCCGCTCCTTCACCCAGGAATCAAAAACCTGAAGAAGGTCTACATGGCTGCTGCGGGCCTAGATACACTGAAAGATGATGGCATGCTCATGAAGCGTATGCTCGATGATGCGCAGTAGGTCTTCTGTTTCGTTGCTTTACTATTGCTGACGTGACTGCAGGGTACCTGTCAAACTCGACTACTACGATGGCTATCCACATTTTTTCTTCGCCTGGCCTTCGCCCAAACTCGATGAGCCGAGGAAGCAGTTCTATGACAACCTGGCTGAAGGAGTGAAGTACGTGTTGTCGGAGTAGGCGTAGCTTGATCATGCATAATCAGTCAACTCATATGCATTGTCTAACGGTCCAGAAACAGCGTTCATAACTCGTCTGTGTGAATGCAGTTGCACCTGAGCTGCATTACGACAACGCGGAACAATAGGTCACTACCAAATGTTGATCGTTAACCTAGAGTATTTCTAGTATCTTCTGGCTTGTTGTCTTCCCAGCGTTGACTAAAGATGCACCCGCACCGAGCTCTATGTGCAATGTTGTCGTCACCTCTTTGAATCCATAGCACGTTGGAGAACTCATACTCCTGGCCTTCCTCGTAACCATCTGCTGGCATATCGAGGATCTCGTCATGTCCCTCGGTTGCATCGATCTGGTATTTGTGTTTATCCATCGGACTTAACTCATCCGAACCATCAATCCACTAGTCAAGTATTACTGATCTTGCGCAGGAGCTGGATATTCCCACTCGAAAATCTTTTGCAGTCGTCCAAATCCTCCAGGTTTCCCGACACCCAAGGCAGGGTCAAAGCTTCGGGGATCAACAAAGCACCGCCAACCACACCAGGCTCAAGATGGAAGTACATAATCTTGGTATTGTCGTGGCGAACCGAACAAAATCCGCCTGGAAATACCGGAGAAAGGCGGCATAAGACACACGTGCAAGCGGACAAACCGTGTTCTTAATGAGAAAGTTCCCGACCGTTGTAAGGGCATATCAAGTCTGCATAAAGACTGAACCCTATCGAAGTGGACGTAGGATTTCGTTGAAGGATACTCGACATTGGTGCACATGTGGGGCCACAACGGCAGATCCGGGGCTCTTCTGTGGTTGGAGAACATCCAAGTCCCAGACAGCGCACTCATACTGCCAGAAGACCCATTCATCGAGGAAGAAAACGACGCGTCTGCTCAGTATATGCTCTTGGTATGTCCAGGCTCTCTTTGCCCATCTCAACTGGGTTGAAGTTTTGTAGACACTCGCAATACACAATGTTTTGACTTCTTCCTCGCTGCGATGGACGTAGCGCCTGACTGGCACAAGCGGAGTTGTGAAACTTGACTGCATCCAACAAGCGAAGTGCATCTAGATTGTCAAATGTGGCATGTGGCACGGCAGCTCTCGAAGAGTCCACGGATTCCGACAAGAGCTAAGACATCTCGGGTTAGTCGAGGGGACGTGCACTAAGTCTTATCTTAGACAAGCTCAGGGGTTCGTATATGGAGGATCGCTCAAGCATTGACACGCACGCTAGCAAATTTCTTGGACCCTGCTTGATCCCATGAACTAAAGGTTAGCTTCAATGCAAACAGCAACAGCAACGTCTCAGATGTCCCGGTGACCCATATCGCAAAGATGGCAGAGTTTGACGGTACCTAGGTATCCATCAAGGGGACGTCCGTCCTCTGGGCCATCCTCCAAAACCTCATGGTCAGCATCAATCTCGATAATACGACGTTTGTCCGCGCTCCTGCTAGCGCACGACCCGAGGTAGATAGCTCAGCCAAAAAGGGATCCAACTCGTATCCCTTTTCCGCCCGTTCGAGCCGACACGACGCCCAGTTCGGCTGAAATGCAAGATGAACGCTCCTATTAAACTGTTTCCCCCGAAGCCAAGAGGACTTTCTTTCTTCTCACAGGTCTTCCAACCTCGCAATCTAACCATTACACTCGTTTTTGAAACAACCAATTAATACCACACTCTTTTAATCTTTAATAATGTCTTCGATCATCCGCACCGTTCTCGCGCTCAGCGCTGCCGCCGCCATCGCCGTCGCTCAAGACCCAAACTCCCCACCCCCCAAGCTCGACGCCCCCTGCGCCGATGCCATTATCTTCATGGCCCGCGGTAACACTGCGCCGTACCATGACTACCGTACATTCCCCTTCGCCGACGCTACGTGCGCCAAGCTAAGGGCTGAGGGCAAGACCTGCGACTACATTGAGGTCGTGTTCCCGTACGGCGGCGACTACTGCAAACAAATTGGCGAGGGAGTCCGCAACGGTCTTGACCAGATCACTGCTTTCAACAAGAAGTGCCCGTGCACGCACCTGATCCTCAATGGCTTCTCTCAGGGTGCCTGGATCATGGGAGATGTCCTTGCTGGACCGGGTGGATGCTCGCAGATCACCACTGGTCTCGACCCTGCCGCGGCTCCTGGTAACGCTAGTAAGTATCCTTGACATGACACACTCGAACCTTGGACTGTGCTAATGTGGTAACTTAGTCGCTGCTGCTCTCCTCTGGGGCGATGTCAAGCACGAGGCTAACATGCCATACAACGTTCTCGACGGCTCTGATCTACAGAAGAATGGTCGCGACGCCACCTCTCTTGCGCGCCTGAACCGCTTCGCACCTGTTCTGCGCTCTTACTGCTCTAAGGGAGACCCGATCTGCGCCAACGGCGACGACGTCGAGAAGCACCTGAGCTACTTTGAGAAGTACACCGAAGACGCCTCGAACTGGGCCGTTGGAAAGCTCAATGCCGCCGCCCCTCTGTGTGCTGCTCCCACACCTACGCCCAGCGCTTCTTCTTCTGCCGTCGCCTCGTCTGTTCGCGTTGCCGCTGTTGCATCTTCGAGCGCTGTCACATCTTCCAGCGCTGCTGCTTCTTCGAGCGCTGCTTCTTCCTCTGGCGCTGCTGCTCCTTCTGGCTCTGCCGCTTCCTCTGGCTCTGCCGCTTCCTCTGGCGCTGCTGCTTCATCTGGTGCTGCTGCTCCCTCTGGCGCTGCCGCTTACTCTGGCGCTGCCGGTTACCCTGGCGTTGCTGCTTCCTCCAGTGTCGCCGCTCTTCCCGCTCAGCCTACATCTCCAGTTTACGTTGCTCCCTTCACTGCTCCCATGTCATACAAGGCTATGTGCGTTCCCCGCATCACGATCAAGTATCACTACGTTTAAGAGTAAGAAGGACGGAAGATGTAGCGGAGTAGACGTAGTGTCAGCAGTAAATAGGTGTAGATCGATGAAGGCACTATGTAAAAGAATGACCGTCGTACTCGACGTCTGCCTGAACTTTTGGTTTTCGTGCGTGATAAGTGTGTTCCGTCTGCTCTGTCAGTGCGCTGTGAACTCTTGTAGAGCCCGATAGTCTAATCTACGAACGTCTAGCCTGGAACGTAAACGTTCCTGTGGGCCTCCTACACCCCCCGTATCTAGTTCACTACATAAATCTAGACAACACTATCTACTAGAGATCCCTTATCCTGCGAAGCTCTAGCAAGTCCGCTGTTATATCTAGTGTATCCTAGCGCTAAAAGTCCTGCACGAGACTGCTATTTATGTTAGGTGTAACGTCTAGGCTCTTAGTGTTAAACCTACATAGGTATCTAGAACAGTATATTATACTTATAATTTCTCTTATTTATAAAAGTATCTTTTTATTAAAGTTATTAATATTATAAAAGTTATAAGTAGCTTATTTTACTTTATATTATTATAGTACTATAAAATAAAGTAAATAATAACTAAAAAAAGAAATTATATATAAATATAAGTTTAAAAAAAAATATAAAAAGTAACTACTATAAGTACTACTTTTTAAGTATACTATATATATACTATAGTTTTTAATATACTTACTATTAATTTAGCTACTAAGCTTAGCTTTTATAGTATATTACTACTATTTAATATTTTAATAATACTTTTATTCTTTAGAGAGTTTACTATAGTAAAAAAAAAAATAGTAAAGCTAAAATTTACTTATTACTATTTTATTATTATTTTTAAACTTATTTCTTTTAAAAGTTTTACTACTATACTTTTATTAGTAAACTAATTTTATAGTGTAAACTAGTTTAAAAAGAGTAAGATCTATTACTAGTATATAAAAAAATATATTTTTAAAAAGATTAAAATTTTATATTTAGAGATATAAGTATTAGATAAACTAAAACTTAAATTTTTAGTACTACTATTTTTAGTATAGTTAAAGCTTTTAAAATTTAAGCTAGTAAAGTAACTATTTTATAAATACTAATATCTACTTATAGTAAAGAAAATTATAATATAATTATATATTCTTAATAGCTTATAACTAATAAAGCTATAAATTATAAAGTAATAAAATACTAAAATTTTTAGTAAGTAAAATTATACTTCTACTATATATATACTCTCTATTTTTTACTTTTATTTTTATTTTATAGCTTATAGTAAAATTAGAAATCTAAAAACTTATTAAAAATATAAATAGTAGCTTAAATCTAATACTAAAAGCTATACTAATTAAATAAGCTTTTAACTATATTCTTACTATATCTCTTTTATAAGTTTTTTTAGTGTTAGTAAGTTTAAAGCTAATTTTATTACTAGTTATATTATCTTACTTACTAAAGCTTAAGTAAGTTTTTTATTATTACTATATTAATTATTTTTCTTTTAAATATATTACTACTTTTATAAGTTTTCTTAAGATTATTATTCTAGAAGCTATTATAGAAGCTATTATAAACTACTATATTTATACTATACTAGAAGCTATTATAAGTACTCTAAAGAGCTACTTTACTAGTATAAAACTATACGCTAAGTCTATTAATATTTTTATTACTTTTATTTTTAATATTTTTATTTTTATTATTTCTATTATTTTTGTTATTTTTATTATTTTTATTATTTTTATTAGATATATAGCTAGTATAAAACTTTCTATTATTTTTTATTCTAGCTTTACTTTTAAGAAGCTTATTATTAGATTCTAGCTCTAAAGAGTCTAGGCTAACTTAGTACTAGCTATAAATACCTTAGAATTACTATTATAGCTTAGTAGTAATTTATTTCTAGTCTTTTTAGAATAATATATTTAATTATAGTCTAATATTATATATCTAGTATTTAACTAACTTTATTATTTAATATTTAAATTACTCTACTTTATAATACTTTTATATATACTATTTAGATATAATAAGCTCTAAAGTAAGTCTCTTTAGTATAATATAATATAGTAGTAAGTAAGCTATACTATTCTTACGCGTAATAAATAATAACTAGAAGAAATTAGCTTCTATATCTTTAGAGGTAGTAATACTACTTACTAAGAAACTTATAAACTTATTAGAAGCCTTTTTAAGTATTACTAACTTAGCTTTAATTATTAAAGATAGTAACACGCTATTAGAGTTTATTTTAAAGCTAACTAAGCTTTTATAAACTACTACTACTAAAGATAAAAATAAATAAGCTATTTTAATTTATAAACTTAAGAAGTTATATAAGTAAAAATAATTAAAGTATACTTATTAAGACGTAGCTTATCTTAGAGAATTAAAGCGCAAGATACTTATAAGTAACTACTTAGCTTTTAAAGAGAATATTATTTACTATACTTTAACTATAAGAGATAAGTTCTAGTTAAACTTAGAAGCTTTATACTTTAAGAATTTAGAAATATTTACTATATATAACTACTTATAGTATAACTACTAGGTATATAATTATAAGACTATTTTTAGAAAAGCGCTCTCTACTTTTTTAATAAGTACTTAAAAAGTAGACTTTATAGTAAGATTTCTTAATAAAACTACTTATTCTACTTAGAATATCTACTTCTAGAACTATATAAAGCTTAAAGCGTTTTAGATATCTACTTAAAAGAAACTTAAAGTAGTTATACTTAATATACTTAGTTTTAAGTTATTATAGTACTTTATAGCTTATAATAGACTTAAAAGAGCTAAATAAAAGCTAGATTAGAATTCTAACTCTCTTTTAGCCTACTTTAATATACTCTAGAGTAAACTAAGTAACTACTTAGAAAAGTAGCGCTATATAAACTTTATAAGCACTTTTCTTTCTAATATTTAGAAAGAACTTCTACTTTAAGACTAGAAAGACTATAATATAGTTTTTAAGCTTAATACTTTAGCTTACTACTATTAAAGTAAAATAAAGTATACTACTATACTTTTTAAGTATTTAGCTTATAAAGAAAAGTTTTATAGCTATTAGGCCTAAAACTCTTTTTTAGAGCCTTTTTAGATTTAGAAAAAAGCTAAAAAAGTAAGTTTAGTAAAATCTAACTTATAACTAGCTAAATTAAACTAAAATAGTCTAAAAAACTTTAATATAACTTATTAAAAGTATAATAAGACTAAATACTTTTAAAAAGACTATCTAAAGTCTAAGAGAAACTCTAAGAGCTTATTTAGCTAGAGATTAAAAAAAGGTAGTAAGTAGAAAAGCTAAAGTTCTTCTTAGCTACTTATATTACTCTAGATCTAGTATTCTAGAACTTAGAACTTTTTTATAATATACTTTACTTTAAGCTAGTAAAGCTACTAATAGTAAAGATATTATATAGCTAATTAGAACTTATTAAGGCTTTAGTAAATAAAGGTTTTTAGTTAAATCTTATTTTAGTATTACTTACTATAAAGTAAAGCTTACTAGTTTACTTTCTATCTAAGCTATTAGTAAATAGAGTAAATAGTAAAGAATTAAAAATTTATAGTACTACTATAGTAACTATAAAAGTAGTAGATTCTTATAGAAAATAAGAGACTTAGAATATTTTATATATTATTATAAAAGTTTATAAGTATTAGATATACTTAAGTTTACTTTAGATAAATATATATTTTCTAAAGATTAGCTACTCTATATAAAGAATACTTTTTTAAAGTACTAAGTTTAAAAATAAAACTATCTATAGAAAGATTATACTAGAAAAGGCTAAGAAGTTTAAAAAGACTATATATAATTCTATAGTAGATATATATAGCTATCTTATTACTTTAATACTCTAGTTTAGCCTAAAAGAAGCTAAAGAGAGTAGTTTACTTTTATAATACGCTAAGTTTACGCACCTTAGGTTAAAAGATAACTTAAGAGTCTTTACTAACTATAGTTTATAAAACTTAGCTATTAACTTACTACTTAGAACTATAGCGCTTTATTAGCTATTATATAACTTCTCTAAAATAGAATTAGAGCTCTTATATAAGTATTTAGATAAGTACTTAGTATAAAAGTAGATTAGGTATAGTAAGTCTCTAGTAAAGATACCTATACTTTTTACTAAAAAGAAAAATAGTAGTATATACCTATATATTAACTATAGAGGCCTTAATAAAGTTACTATTAAAAATTAGTACTTTTTACTACTTATTATAAAGTTTCTAAAAAGATTAGCTAGCGCTAAATTTTATACTAAACTTAATATAAAAAAAGCTTACTATAAAGTATATATTAAGAAGAGTAATAAGTAGAAGACTACTTTCTATATAAGATATAGTAGTTTTAAGTATACTATTATACTTTTTAGCTTTATAAACGCTTTTATATAGTTTTAGACTTATATTTATTAAGTTCTTATAAGATTAATTAATATAACCTATATTATATACTTAAATAATATTCTTATCTTCTCTAATATAAAAGAGAAGTATAAGAGCTATATTAAGAAAGTTTTACGTAGATTATATAATATAAAGCTATTTTTAAAGCTTCTAAAGTGTAAGTAGTATACTTAGTATACTAAGTATCTTAGGTATATAGTTTTCTCTAAGAGAATATAAATTAATAAAAATAAAATTAAAATAATCTAAAAATAGCTTAAGCTGCGTATAGTATATAAGATTTAAGTATTTATTAGCTTTATAAACTACTATAAGTAGTTTATTACTAGATTTTTCTAGCTTACTTTACTATTAACTAAACTAATCTAAAAGAAGCTAAAAGTAGCTAAGAGTAGCTACGCCTAGTAAAGAAAGAAGAGTTAGACTCTTAACTTTAATAAGAAAGCTAAAAAAACCTTTTAGAAGCTAAAAGACTCTTTTCTAAGTATTTCTATTTTAACTTACTTTAAGTAAGATAGAAAGACTAAAGCTAAAGTAGATACTTTAGGTAGCATAATTATAAGTATATTAAGCTAATATATACTAAATAGAGCTAAA